GTGTCCCAATGCTGAGGAGCCTATGCAGTGTAACCTGGGGAACTGGGCAGATCCATGCTCCCTAATCCACCTTGTGGAAGTCTCACTAACCCCACATATGTATACCAGACCAGTGAAACTAAATGGGGTAGGGACCACTGCACTGGTTGATTCGGGGAGTGCTATCACGCTTATCTCAGGGAAGCTCGTGAAGCGTAGTCAGCTGCTGCAGGCTAAACGCATGGGGATAACGTGTGTCCATGGGACAGTTAGTTACTACCCCACCATCCCAGTAAAAATTGAGATCCAAGGGAACACTACTGAGGTAGCAGCAGGTGTAGTCCCTAAACTCCCATACCCGGTGCTCATAGGGAGGGACTTCCCAGGGTTTGGAAACTTACTCCCAGTAGGGGGATTGGAGAAAGATGGGGACCCTAAAATTGGTGAGGCATCCACAGAAGACTGTCAACCCCCAATCTTCTCTGAAATATCCCCAGATTTGTTCTCCACTCCCAGACAGGGTAGAAAGACAAAAAGGGAAAGAAGGGCAGCTAAGGCCTTGGGAACCCGAATACTGACCCAAAGCCAGAGGGTCGCTCTTGCGGACCCGCGCAGCTGAAAAGGAGGCCACGCAGGAGGGAGAAGTACCTGAGTCTGACCCCCACCCTAATGCTTCTGAACCAGTAGAGGCAACAGAGACTGGGCCCCTAGATCTTGGGCAGATTAGCCCCGGGAGAGGAAATTTTGGACGGGACCAGGCAGAAGACCCATGGTATGACAACATTAGGAAGGAGGTGACTGAAATAGATGGGGTCCCCGTGAAAGGGAAAACCCAGGGACCAGGACCCTACTTCATAATGAAGAAGGATCTCTTATACTGAGTTGCACCAGTACAGGGGCAGAAGGTACAGCAGATCCTAGTACCTCAAAAACACCTGAACGCTGTATTAAGTCTTGCTCATAGTCATCTTTTTGGGGGGCATTTGGGGGGTAGAGAAGACCCTGGCACGAGTCCTACGACGGTTCTTCTGGCCCGGAGTACATGAAGAAGTGTGGAGGTACTGTGCCTCCTGCCCGGAGTGTCAGCTGCACAGTCCCCGTCCCCACTTGAGGGCACCTTTAGTACCCCTTCCCATCATAGAGATCCCCTACGAGCGAATAGCCATGGACGTAGTGGGATCCCTGGAGAAGACGGCTCGGGGCCACCAATATATACTTATTGTTTTGGACTATGCTACTCGCTACCCAGAAGCCGTCCCCCTGCGGAACACGGCCTCTAAAACTATAGCCAAAGAGCTGGTGGAGATCTTTGCCCTAATGGGGCTACCGAAGGAGATATTAACCGACCAAGGAACCCCATTTATGGCGAAGCTAATTAAGGACCTCTGTACGCTGCTCCATATACATACCCTGAGAACTTCGGTCTACCATCCGCAGACTGATGGGTTGGTAGAAAGGTTTAACCGAACCCTCAAGGCTATGATGAGGAAGGTGGTAAGTCGGGACAGGAAGGATTGGGACACTCTACTACCCTACCTTATGTTCGCTATCCGGGAGGTACCACAGGCCTCAACTGGGTTTTCCCCCTTCGAGTTATTATATGGGCGTCACCCCCGTGGCATACTAGATATCGCCAAAGAGATCTGGGAAGAGGAACCCAATGAGGGGAGAAATATAATAGAGCATGTAATGCAGATGCGAGACCAGATAGCCCGGGTTACTCCTATTGTACGGGAACATTTGGAGAAGGCACAGGAGGCCCAGCGAACCCATTACAATCGCCAGGCAAAAGTGCGACAGTTCCAACCAGGAGATCGGGTTATGGTGTTGGTACCCACGGCAGAAAGCAAGCTTCTGGGCCAATGGCAGGGGCCCTATGAGGTGGTTGAACCCATGGGGGAAGTAACCTACAAGGTGCGGCAGCCAGGACGCAGAAAACAAGAACAGATTTAACACGTTAACCTTCTGAAACCCTGGCATGCACAAGAGGCATGCACAACGGTCCAAAAAGACCTAACCCAGGAAAACAAGCCTTCCAAACAGGTGAGAGTGTCTCCCGATTTAACACCAGACCAGAAGAATGAAGTGTCTGAGATTATCTTCTGGAACCAAGATGTGTTCTCGACAAAACCGGGTCGAACAACCGAGACATATCACCAAATCGTCACAAACCCTGGGGCCAGAGTAACAATGAGGCCCTATCGGATGCCAGCGGCAAAAAGGGAGGAAATAAAAGCAGAAGTAAAAAAAATGCTGGAGTTGGGGATCATCGAAGAATCCCAGTCAGTGGTCCAGCCCAATCGTGCTGGTGCCCAAACCTGATGGCACCACAAGATTTTGCAACGACTTCCGGCGACTAAACGAAGTATCCCAGTTCGACGCGTACCCCATACCTCGCATAGATGAGCTAGTGGACCGTCTGGGTAATGCCTGGTACTTGACTACCCTAGACTTGACAAAGGGATACTGGCAGATTCCCCTTGCAGAAGACGCAAAGGAAAAGACTGCGTTCTCTACACCAGAGGGTCTTTTTCAATATACTGTCCTCCCTTTTGGACTACATGGGGCCCCAGCTACCTTCCAGCGCCTCATGGACAAGCTATTACGCCCGCATAACAGTTATGCTGGTGCCTACTTGGACGATGTGGTCATTCATACCCCAGACTGGGAAACCCACCTGGAGAAGGTGGAGGCAGTCCTTGATACCTTCAGGCGAGCTGGCCTTACAGCAAACCCTGCCAAGTGCGCTGTAGGGTTTACAGAGGTCAAATATCTTGGCTACATTGTGGGAAAAGGTCTGGTAAAACCCCAAGTGAACAAGTTAAAGGCCATCCAAAATTGGCCTCGACCAAGTAGCAAGAAACAAGTCCGGGCGTTCCTAGGTGTGGTGGGATATTACCGACGATTTATCCCCCACTTTGCCACAAGGGCAAGCCCCCTGACAGACCTAGTGAAAGCCCGTGGACTTGATCTGGTGAGATGGTCTGACGCAGCAGAGGAAGCATTCACAGACCTCCGGACTGCCCTCTGCAGTAACCCCGTACTGATAGCCCCTGATTTCACCAAGGAGTTTATCCTGCAGACGGATGCATCGGAAGTAGGGTTGGGGGCCGTTCTATCACAGATGGTCGCGGAGGAGGAACACCCAATTCTATACCTCAGTCGGAAACTCCTTCCAAGGGAACAAAAATATGCAGTGGTGGAGAGAGAATGCCTCGCTGTAAAATGGGCCATGGAAACATTGCGCCACTACCTGCTCGGGCGCAGATTTGTCCTCGTAACCGACCATGCCCCTCTTCAATGGATGCAGCGGAACAAGGAGAAGAACACAAGGGTGACCAGATGGTTCTTATCCCTCCAACCTTTCCAGTTCCGTGTGCAACACAGAGCAGGGAGCCGTCATGGCAACGCCGATGGCTTGTCACGTGTACACTGTCTGGCGTCCCAAGCTGCCCAACTCCTTGGCGTTGAGCAGGGGGGAGGGATATGTGACAGACCCAGACCAGTGGGGTACAGGAGTCTGGTAGAGGGCAAATATACTGGTCACTGGATGAGTAGTTTTCTGTTCCCTGAATGACCAGAGCAGGGGCTGCACTAGAGTAATCAGGAACCTGCTAGAACCAGTTAAGGCAGGCAGGCTAATTAGGACACCTGGAGCCAATTAAGAAGAAGCTGCTAGAATCAATTAAGGCAGGCTAATCAGGGCACCTGGGTTTTAAAAGGAGCTCACTTCAGTTTGTGGTGGAAGTGTGAGGAGCTGGGAGCAAGAGGTGCAAGGAGCTGAGAGTGAGAGGGTGTGCTGCTGGAGGACTGAGGAGCACAAGCGTTATCAGACACCAGGAGGAAGGTCCTGTGGTGAGAATAAGGAAGGTGTTTGGAGGAGGCCATGGGGAAGTAGCCCAGGGAGTTGTAGCTGTCATGCAGCTGTTACAGGAGGCACTATAGACAGCTGCAGTCCACAGGGCCCTGGGCTGGAACCCGGAGTAGAGGGCGGGCCCGGGTTCCCCCCAAACCTCCCAATTGACCTGGACTGTGGGTTCTCCCAGAGGGGAAGGTCTCTGGGCTGTTCCCCAACCCACATGGTGAATCTCTGAGGCAAGAAAATCCGCCAATAAGCGCAGGACCCACCAAGATAGAGGAGGAACTTTGTCACAAGAGTTTATTTTCTTGATCTCTATTATACCATTACTGGTCAACATAATGGTGTGTATTTTAATTATGAGTTTGTACAGTGCCTAATGCAATGGAATCCTGGTTCAAGACTGGGGTTGCTAGGTGCTAATGCTATCCAAATAATAAAGAATTTCTGATGCAATGCTGATTTTGATAGAGATGCACCACAGATGACTTTAGCCCAAAGTCTCTTTTGTTTTAAACCACCTAACTCATCCTTCTGCTTTTCTCTCTCTTATCTATCTGACTTTAGCATCTTTCAAAAGGTATTATGCAAAGAGGTTCTACCAGTAGCAAGTTGTCTATTTACTGAAAATTGATTGTTGCTTTGTGAACATTCAGGTCAGTCCTAGTTCCTAATTTTGCATTTTACCCCTTTTTACCTACTTCTGGCAACCAAACAATACAAGCAAAGTATTCAGTTTCCACCCCCCGTATAGTGATGCTGACCATGCAGCCTAAAATAGAATTTGGTCCATTTTCTTTGAATCGGGATGTTATCATAATGATCCCTGGATAGTTCAGCTCCTCTTGATCAGTACAAAGACTTTACTTCCTGCATTACCTCTGACAGATTTTCATATGAAAATCCAGGGAGAATGCTGTTTTAGTGGGTTGGTACCATGGGAAGTATATAGGTTGCATATCAGTGTATGAGAGAACCTAACATATTGCCAAAAAGATTTTTACGAGGCACCTGCACAAGATCCCTGGAGCTGATGACTAATATAAATATGTTGTATTAAGTAGAAGAAGGTTAAATAACACATTTTTAACACAAAGGAGACCCATCACAGCCTGAAGTTAATAGGCCACTGAAAGTTTAAGTATCTGGTTTCATTACTTACCAAAATCTTGAGGAGGGCTTTCTCATCACAGTCTTCCGTACTGGTTACATTTAATTTTTCTTTGTATTTCTAAAGTGAAAATAAATGAAAAATTAAGTTTCTGTTCCACAAGATTCCTATTTGAATTCTGTGGTACTAGAAAGATACTCACCAATATGGACTGAATTTCTTCAGGGGTGGCCTTTGTCTGGTACATGAGCATTTCCTGAGCAAGGTCTTTCCTGTTTTCAAGCTTATTCATTTTGTCATAGGTGTCAGTATTTAAAACAGACCATCCAAGGAATTGTGTAAGACTCTGGAACAAAACAGAGGAAAATGGAGATGATGTAGTGACAATTCATTTGGCTTAATATTAAAGGAAAACGGACAATTTGAACTCCTTAAAATGTCCAGCAGGGTACTTACGTGCCTCCCACCAACACAGCTTCTGAGCCACAGGCACCGGCTTCCTCCTTGCCCTGGGGATGCTCAACCCCTGCTTCGCTCCAGGCCCCGCACCAACTCCACCCTTCTCCAAGCTTTCACCCCCGTCTCTTCCCACCCAGTTCTGCTCCCTCTCTTGAGTGTGCCCTGTCCCTGCTCTTCCACCTCCCCCACAGCGCCTCCTGCGGTACAGCTGATCCCGGCGGGCGTGAGGAGCTGGAATGGAGGGGGAGGAGTTGATTGGTGGAGCCGCTGGTGGGCTGGAGGCACTGGGGGTGGGTAGCTGGCTGCCGGTGGATGCTAAGCACCCACTAATTTTTTTTCGTGAGTGCTCCAACCCTGGAGCACCCACAGAGTTGGTGCTCATGCTCTGAGCCCCTCAAAAACTTTAATACATGCAGCTTCACAACAACCATGTAATATAGGGAAGCATTTTCCCCATTTTGCAGATCGGGGTCTGATGTGCACAGAGGTTAAGTGACTTGCCCAGTATATGGGTGCACACTTGCACCTGTGCAGAACCACACATGTCAATGGGACTTTACACAGGCTTGCTCTCAAGGAGCTCCTTGCAGGATCAGAGTCTTAGGGGTGACATCCAGTGAATCAGATGGTCTGTCATCTCTGCCCTGAAGACTACAAATACTAATTAATGTCAGTTAAATGATTTTGACCATTCTTAACTAATCTAATATGGGTTTTTTTGTTTATTTGTTAGAATGATTTTTTATGGTATCTGCCGTCTGTTCACTACTGGAAAAAAGCTCACGATCCATCATAACTGTACAAGTGTGTAAAGAGTTTTAATGGAAATACTTTTACTATTAAGAAATTGTAATGAAGAGGATAACAAACTTTCAGTATAACTGCTACCTAAAATAGTAATTTTTAACTTAGACTTAACAAAAATATCTCTTAACATTAAATGATCATCTACAAAATGTTTCATCTCATTAAACTTACTTCAGTGATCTGTTCATCAAATTCATCAAAGGGTTTTCCATCTTTTCTATTGTAAAATGTAGCTACTCCCACAATTTCTTCTTTTTTGTTGACAATAGGCAAAGACAGGACATTTTTTATAACCCAGCCTGTCTCATCCACAGGCCCTTTCTGCAAGCAAACCAAAGGAAGAGGAAATATTGCATATTTCTTTAAAAATAGTCATACAATATTTTGGTATTATAATTGTAAATGTCATAGCTGGTACCCAAAGATCACAAATAAGTACAATAACAAAATTATCAGCCACCTCCGGAACTATGGAATGTATGAATATTTGTGCAATCAACTTTATGACTAATGGGTAGATGGTATTAGGGTACTTTCCTATAATAATTACAATAAAAGAAATACTGTGTTATTACCTGAAATGAAAAATAGTCATCTGCTGGTGCATTCATCATGTTACAAATCTGTGGTATAAGGAAACAAAAAAAGCCCCATTGTTTAGGTGCAGTATATACACTCAAATCCATAGTCTGGCATTTTAAAAAGGCATATTCATCTTCTAAGAGAAAATTAACCGTCATTTTACATAAATCAAAGTATTATTAAAGTAGAATTAGCTACTCCGGTATATGCCACTTGGAGTGCTGAAAACACTCTGCCTTGTGTATGGTGCTCATAATATATTTTATTAAGCACAATAGTTACTTAACAATATGCAGGAAGAAGGCAAAATTTTAGGGCAGGAAGTAAAGAAGAATATTATATCCAATTTTAAACTGCATGGGGAGTTTTAGGAAGAGGTAAATAGTTGAGCTAACCCCTACTCTTACAAAAAGTGCCACAGAATCAGCAATGACTACAGTACACACAAAATTAAAGGTCTCTGTATCTCCTCTGAAAGACAATATCTTACACCGTGTTGAAACCTTGGTTCAGATTTGGGTCCAACCATCTTTCTGTTTATAACCCTGTACCAGGACTAAAACTAAACAGAAAATTCTACATGTTTCTGTTTGCTGAGTTGCTGACAGATCATTCTTTTGTGAGAATGGACTTGTACGCCTGCAATGCGAGTCAGAGACCTAAGCCCTCCAACCCCTGAGATGTCTTAAGATCTGTCCGGAAATCCCCTGGTTCACAGGTCATCTGCATAGACGGCTTGTCCCTCCAGGCTACTGATTGGCCCCTGTACTCCATGGCAGCTATAATCCTGGAGACTGTGTGATATTTTCACACTATTGTATTTATATTTATATGTATATATAAATACTTATTGTATTTCCAGTCATTTAGCCAATATAAGGAAGTTTTGATGATGGCTTCTGAAGTCTCTGCTTGATCAAAAAACTCTATAAAATGTGTAACTTTCTTTTTTTGCAATTAACTTACAAATCCATTTTCAGCAACATACGTTGGCAACCCGCTTACAAGACACCAGTGATCTGCAGGAGGTGACCTGTAGAGACAGAATGAGATTCAATAAGTCAATGTCACAGATATAAACATGTTGCAGTTCTACCTGAGCAACGCCGCTAACTGCTACATATTTAACAAGCTGATAATGAATACTTACGGAATGACTTTGATTTCTTCTTTTCCATGTAAAATATAATCAATAATCTTATAAAAGATGACTTCCTAAATAAAAGAGGAGAAAAACATGCATTAATTATCCTGTGCAACTAAATTCCAAAATTATGATGTGTAAAAAGGAAGCATTTATACTCACTCTGCCATCGGGTGTTTTTGGTCCTTTATAAGGCTCTGCTTCTCCCAGCTTGATTGGCCATTCATCATAGAACTCCTAAAAATAATTACACACAGATTAACAATACAAAGCGTTTCTCAGTTATATACCAATAGGTAACATGAAATGCATGGACAATAATTTTATGCTATACTTCTCCATAACCCTACTTGGTCTGGTCACATCTCAAAACAGTATGAAGAAAACATTGTTAAACATACACCAAACAAAAGTTTTAGCAAGTAAATTGCAGGTTAGTGTGAAAACCAATGCCAGAAAACTGCATGGCTTTCTCAACATTTTAGTGGGTGGGAGAAGTATATAATAAAAATAACCACCTGAGCCTAATCTGCATGTCTTACGTAGATGGCCTGCCCTATTTTTATATATTTTACATGTAATTTTGGTGACTCATATTAGTTGAATATAGTTCATGCCTCATGTCATTTTGAAACCATACTTAGAAAGCATAGCCCATTGATTCCATGGAGAAAGGCACATTAGAGCTATCCATGACAGACAGATTAGGTAGTAGAGGGATTAATTTTTTATAATGATATTGAATTAAGTGAATTCTACATTTCCAAGTAATTAGTAAAATGCTGGTTACCTTCTCTTTGGTCATATCCAGCAGACCAACAGAGTATCTTTCACAGTTCAAATAAATTCGAATAGTGTACAGTGCTTTGTGAAACTGTCGCTCAATATCTGTCAGTTCTTCAAATACTTTGTTGGCAGACCATAAAAGCATCTGTTTACAATGAGAGAAAACTGGGTAAATATTCAGGTGGTGAAGACATTGTTGGCATCACTGAAACTTGGTGGGATAATACACATGATTGGAATGTTGGTGTGGATGGATACAGCTTGCTCAGGAAGGATAGACAGGGGAAAAAGGGAGGAGGTGTTGCCTTATATATTAAAAATGTACACAC